TTGTCACTACTCAAGTATTGTCGTCACTGGAATTACAGGCAAGCAGTGTACTCGGACACGAGGAGTCGTGCCACTCACGCTACGCTCGACACCTTCCAACTCAACTGCCACAATTCAAGTTCATGTCCTCCGGACAGTTACATCAATCTTACCATCTTTCGAGGCGGAACCGGAAGAATGGCCGCATCTCAGGACCTTGGCATTAGCCGATCCTGATTTTCTCATCCCGCGGCCAGTTAACATCCTCATCGGCGCAGACGTTTACGGGCAAATCATCAAGCCCAATATTATTCGGCATTCTCCACTCATACCGATAGCGCAACTCTCCATTTTCGGATGGCTCGTTCTTGGACCAGTCAATAGGGAAGCAACACGCACGTCAACGCAGCATGCTGCTACTCAATTCAACGAGGATGCTCTTATTGAGTTATTGACGAAATTTTGGAATCAAGAGGAGGTGCCTACTCACGATGTCACTCAGCTCACTCCTGACGAGCAGAGGTGCGAGAAGCACTTCAACACTACATACTCTCGTGATTCTTCAGAGAGGTACATCGACAGGATTCTACTCAATTCACCAGACGAGCTTTTGGGTGATTCTTACAACGTCGCTCATCAATGTCTGAAGGGATTACGCAGACGATTCTCAAGGGATGTGAATTATCAATGTCTCTATCAACAATTCATGATTGATTACGAGACACTCAACCACATTACGAAGGCATCATTCATCTCCAGTCATCGCTCACATTTTCACCTGACACATCACGGTGTTCTCAAGCCGGCCAGTATTACAACGAAACTGCGGGTGGTTTTCAATGGCTCTAGCGCATCCACATCAGGCTACTCGGTCAACTACCTCATGTACACTGGAGCAAAGCTACATCTGAACATCTCAGATGTTCTACCTAGGATACGTAGACATCGTCACATTTTCGCTACGGACATCACCAAAATGGACAGACCGATTCAGATTCACAAGGATGACTGGGAGTTACAGCGGATACTCTGGATGGACAATCAGCTCAATGAGGTGCCATGTCATTCAACAACGGGCACTTACGGGACGAAGGTCGCACCATTCTCAGCCGTACGGACCTTGTTACAATTAACAGAAGACGAAGGACATATAA